AGGAGGAGGCAACAATGCTTGATAAGAAACGTACTCATTACCTTGCTTGTGTAATTGTAACCCTCTGCACGGAATTTTCACAATAAAAAAACTTATTAAAATTTTTTAAAATGTTCATTATAATTTTAAGAGAGCTTTTTGAAACATAAAAGGGTTACAGCTGTTGCAAAAAGATGCCTTTTGCTACATGATTGTAACCAGAGTATCAAAAATGAGATTAGTTAATTAAGGAAATTTCACTTTTCAAAATAGTTGTATTTATTTAGCTATCCCCACAAGAAAACTAAAGCCAAAACCAAAATAGAACATATGACAGGAAGTTGAGATCATGTTCTCATACATTGATAAAAGGCTGTCTTTATACACTGAAAACTTAAACTCATTCAACAAAATACTCACTATTTATAGGAAATATATGCTCAGAAGGGATTTACAACATTTCAGGTGAAATAACAAAGACTCTCCTATCTTAATTAGCCTGCTGTCTCTCTGGACCAGTAGGAAATGTTATGTACACAGTGCCCAGGTTTCTATTTCATTTGTGTCTGGATCGGTCTTCCAGCAAAAAAAATGTAATGTAATTTATATACACATTTTACATTTTTTAGTAGCCATGAAAAAAAAGGTTAAAGGAAACAAGTGATAATCATTTCAACAAAACTTCAACTAACAGGGCTAAAATATTGTCAAACCCACATCCAATCAATATAAAATTGAAAGACTTTAAATTCTTAATTTTTTTCTTTTAACAAACTAATTCAGTAAAACCCTGTGTGCATTTTATCCTCCCATAACACAGCAGTCATGATTAACCATTTTTCATACTCTCTGTAACTACACACAGCTAGTGCATGGCTCTTAGAGTTGACAGGAAGCATCTGAGTATCAAAGACAGTTAGCTAATTAACACCTAGGTAATTCTATAAAACAATATTCTCCTTGAATCCTTAATGATCCTTAGCCTATGATGTAAATCCATGATCTCACTCCAGAAAATAAACTCCTTAAGAAGTAAGCAGGACAGTTTGAGGACCTATACTTTTAATTTCAGAAATCAGTAGGAGGCCTGAGATACTCATGGTAACTGTGAAAGTTGCATAGCTGTCTTGAAGGCTGTTTCCTCATCTCTAAAACAGCAAATAACTAACACAATATCCTCAGTGATTGCAAGTGGTAAATAAGCTTCCATGTACTTATATCAGATGTCAGTCCTATTGGACCTTACCTAAAGCTCCTTCTTGTCAAAATGCTCAAATTATAATGAAAACTCCCTTTTCCATTTCTGCTTTAATCAATTCAGCAAGAAACATATAGAATATCAGGTTCCAGTACATACATTAGTGTAACATCCATGAAAACTAGGGAATTACTTGTTCTGTTCACTGTCAAACTTCAAAAGCCAAGTTCCTAGTGAGTTGGACCTTCTGACAAACTCTTAAGTCACCCATTTTTAACTATATTCACAGTAATAAAAGTTGCTGGTCTTTGCTCATTAAGCTGTCATTTTTACAACCATTATTGGGTCGTGACCTTCAGTCTTACGTGGTCTGGGTCTTAATTTCCATACTAGATAGACCACTTAATGTGAAAAGAAATGACTCACTTTTAAATACAAAGTGACAAAGAACCTTAATGTCATCTTCAAATCTATGCCTCAGATTTACTGCACCAGGCATTTCTCATAGTTCAGTCTTCAAAAAACATTCAACCTTTTGACCATTAACTGCTACAACCTTGCATTCAATCACCACCTACTCTCCCTTGGCTGATTATTGCATTTATGTTTCTGGAGTTTCACTGGCTGCTCAGCCCATCTCCTAGCTCTGGCCTTTTCAATCAATCCACAACACAGCAAGCAGAGAGATCCTTTAAAGAAATGTCTATTGGATATTTTTATTTCCTCTCCAGAGACGTCTCTTTTTAATTCTTTAGCCCAGTTATAAATGGAGTAGTTGTTTCTTTGAGGATTTGTTTTTTTGGGGGGGGTTAATTTTTTGAGCTCTGGGTATATTTTTGATATGAAATCCTTGTCCGTTGTATAGCTAGTGAAGATCTTCTCCCAATCTGTGGGCTTTCTATTTAACTTGATAGCTAGGTCCTTTGCCATGCAGAAGCTCTGCAATTTAATGCAATCCCATTTATCCAGCCTTGCTTAAATTTGTTGTGTTTCTGTATCTTTATTTAGGAAGTTTTGATGTGCTAAGGAGCCCTACTGTATCCCCTATCCCTTCCTATAATGTTTTCAGGGTATCTATCCTTGCATTGAGATCTTTAATCCACTTGGAGTTGATTCTGGTGTGAGATAATATATAGAGATCTACATGTATATAGCTCATTTTGTCAGTACCATTTGTTGAAGAGGCTGTTTTTCTTCCATGGGTGATTTTGGCCCTTTTACTAAAGATTAGGTGGACATAGGTCTGTGGAATCATATCTGGGTCTTCAATTCTATTCCATTGATCCTCAGGCTGCTCATGTGACAATACCAACCTGTTTTTATAACTATGGCTTTACAATAAAGTTTAAAAATAATTTTTCTATTTTAATGAGAAGATAGAAACACAAATCACCTAGCACTAGATGCATTGATTAAATTTCTATTTTTTAGTAAACACTACAACGAGAGCTTGCATTTTTCATTAATACCTAATATGAATAATATATTCTCTAAATTATAAATTAAACTTCAAACACATCAAATGACTCAGTATCTGTTAACAGAATAGCAAATTCGACAGCCAATTTTTTATTCTAAATTTCACCCCATCTAAAATGAATGCCAAATTCTATGTAGAAAAAAAACCAAAATGCAACCAGTGTGTTTTGAAATCAGGCTCAAAAAGCCAAAATCATCTTCGCAATATAATTAAAAAGACTTCCCATTATAAAAATAATTTACATATAATTATCTATCTAAATTAATCCAGTGTTCCATATAACTTCTTGAAAGTGTTTTTACTACCATACCTAGAGACCCCAGCTGACTTTAAAATTTGTTTCTTTGTCTAATGGTGAGGATGGATATCAGGGCCTTACACATGCTAAGCAAGTGTTCTACCACCAATCTACATCTCCAGAGTTTTTTATAATGTTATTTGAGATAATATTGTTAATTTGCCAAGGTTAGAGTCAAACTTGAGATCTTCACACCTCACACTCTGAATTAGTTGTATTTATAAGCATGTACTACTGCCAAATCACTCTGGAATTCTTTAATGGTATCTTCACATTTTAGTAGAATATTCACTGTGTATTTCATGATTTTGCCAAAAAATACATAAAACATTTACTAAAAACACAGAACCATGCTCAACACAATTTTCAGCTGGTGTTAAACTAAAATTCTTAAAGCTTTGTAAACAGGTCTCATTTCCACTTTCTGAGCATGATCTCTTTCAAGCACATGAGAGCTTTCGAGGTTGTTTCCATGAGTTAATGTTATGAAGGATATTGTAGCCATGGTGGAAAACCTTTGTAGAGTTCATACACAGACCAAAGAAAATACATGACAGAGATCTACTGGAGCCCAGCAACCAGTGGGAAGAATGCGGAGAAACAAAGAAGATAAAGGTAGGTGAAGGTGGCCAAAGTCCTTCCTATACACACATGAAAATACAACAATAAAGTTTATTGAACAATTTTAAGTAGGGATTGAGGGTACAAGGAAAAGAGATAAAGGAATTTAATTGCAGTACATTGCATACATGTACGAAAATACTGCATTGAAACACCCCTTGTACAACTAAATGTGCTAAGAAAAACATAATAAACATTGCTACAGTGTATTTTCTGCCATTTTTTCTCTTTCTACTAAAAAAAGATATTTTCAGCAGTTTGTAAATAAAGAAAAGAATTTTATTTCTTTCTTTAAAGATACAGTTACTCCCTTTTCCCTCAGTACTAGATTAGTAGCTACCAAAGGGAATGAATGTTTAAGGTCCTACAATTGGGGAACTATAGTAAAAATCTATGAAAACCATAAAAACCTTCATTTTAAAAGACGGAAGTTTACCCTATAATCTGTAACTGAGTTTTTGTCATATGTTACCATTTAAGTATTTGTAGAAAGTTTGAAATTTGGCAGAAGAGCTCAGAAATCAATTCCAATATATTATACATCTATTTAAATAACATGTGTTTTACCTCCATTCCACACCTACTTCTTTCTCTTAGGAAAGGAAAAATGGCAAAGTACATTTCTCTTAGCTTTCTTAAGAATCAGAAAGAAATTTCACAAATATAGAGAATGGTCTTAGGAGGTAAATGTTGCTTTTTAGTGGTGAAGGATGATTTCTGTCATGTACTTTTGGACATGTTAGTCCAATGTAAATAACAACAACAAAAAAAGAATGAATACACAGTAAAATACACTCACACAGACACTGAACAACCAGTAAAATGGTATAGCAGTTAAACCTAAATGATCCAACAAAATAGAAAGCCAACAATAAAATAAAAATTTACTTGTGTATACAGTACATCATTTTCTTAAAAAAAACTCTTACCCCTTTTCTGAACACACAAAAGGGAAACACATAATCTGATTTATAATAGCAGTTACCTCTATATGGTATAATTATAAGACATTTCTTTCCCATTTCTGTCTGACTTATTTCATGTTTTCCAAAAACACCACACACACGCACACGCACACACACACACACACACACACACACACACACACACACAGAATCATGCATTCATTTCCAGTCTCAATTTTTTCATAAGCATAATAATATTAATTATAATCTGGAAGTGTCTCATTATTATCAGGTGTTACTGAACTATTTATAGAAATTATATGGCTTGTAAAAAAAACCCTGATGAGGTCCAAGAGAGTCTAGTTATCACCAGTGAAAATCAGATTTTTCTTTTTCCTCTGGGAAAAATATTTTTCCATATCATTGGTGAAGCTTTATTTCAACATTTAACAAAAACATTTAAGTAAACAACTGGAGAATAGTTCTACTTTCAACTTAGAAAACAGAGTTTATTGTTACCTCCTAGGCAGCCAATGAATGAAAGCAGGATCAACTGTTTCCATGGCAACATCATCTTTAATTGCCACAAGCAAGAGTAACTCTTGTCCAGTCTCTGATGAATAGAATGCTTTGTCTTCAGGTAAATCCTTTAATCTGTAAAATATATGTACAAAGAAGTTAGACTAAAAAAAATAGCTCCTTTAGAGAAGAGATTTTCTAAACTGTATCATTCACAGACACTCAAATCCTCAGATAAAATAAATCTCTTCTTGATACAAAGTAGAGGATAACTTGAAATGTAGCTTTTTAATAAAACACTTTATGTAACTAATGGTAGACAGAAGAAGCCTTACACAATTAGAAATTTTCAACAGCACCAAATGTTAATAAATGATATATTAAAAATTTAAAACTTTTACCAGATAATAATTACAATAAATAAAATATTAATCTGAAATTCTTTTATCCTCATTTTCTCTAATGATAACCTTTTAGTAAAATGGAAGACTCAATAATCAGGTTATCTTGAAACAAAGCTCTTGGTAGCTTCATATTCTTAATAAGGTATACAATTATAAACAGCATTATCAAGGACCCTCATTAACCTATTTTTTTGTTTCATAGAAAAATTCCAAATTACCTAAACAACCTAAACAGAAAGCTCCCAATTACATAAACTACCTAAAATGATTTTTAAACCATTAATAGTTGGGAATTCTTCAGTCAGAATCTTTCAAGTGAAGCCACATGTTTTTATATCCTTGAATTTTCATAAATGTAGATATGCATGTTGACTAAGCATAATTCCTTGAAAGGCTGTCGTTTCCAATGGCCTCTTGAAACTAGTTAGGCTACAAGGTTAATGATCAAGTAAGCCAGTTACACACACCTAAAATCAGATAATCTTCTTCAAATGACACTCAGCTGGTAACACAGGAAGAACAACTTCAAAATCTGCTGCTATAGCTATAACAGTATACAACTCTGATTCAATGGCTGCTATGTATTGGACTGTTTTAGTTGTCACCAGGCCCAGAATGAAATCCCAATCTCCCTTAATACAATCACTTTCAACACCTGGCTCCTGTCATGTAGAATATCTTATCAGATATTAATTACAATTTCAAAAGTGAAAAACATCACCATTTGTATGATGTAGTTCATAGATTATGTCAGTAATTCCTATAGTCATGTTATTTTTGTGCACTTTCAATCTAAAGAGGTGACATTAATTAAGTTGCCCTGATAGGATCAGCATTAAGATAATACGTTGCATTGAAATCCCTTTGTTCAACTACTTAAAGATAAATCTTTCGTTGTTGTTTTGTCGGTAGTGGGGCTTGAACTCTGGGCCTGGCCCTGCACTCTTCAGCTCAAGGCAAGCACTTTACCACTTGAGCCACAGCACCACTTCCAGTTTTCTAGTGGTTTATTGGAGATAAAGACCCTCACATGGATTTTCCTTCCCGAGCTGGCTTTGAACCACAATCCTCTGATCTCAGCCCCATGAGTAGCTAGGATTACAGGCATCAGCCAGTGGTGCCCAGCTAAAAGATAAATCTTTAACAAGTAAAAAAAAAAAAAAAAAGACAATTTTCTTGAATAGGAAGCAACAGGAAGACATTATCAGTCATTATCAGAGATAATGACTTCTAGATACTGGAACTCTGAAACAAGTCAAAATGCAATAGAAAACTGATAGTTGGGTAACCTGTACCAGTTTCTCAACACCCCCACTAGAGCAAACTGCCTATGCCTTGGTTGGAGCTCCCCTAAATACAAGCACTGCAAAATGAATTCAAGAGCAAATAGTTTACCTGAAAGGGGTAAATTAAAATCAACCCAGGACTGGACTAAGCATAATATCATATATTCTAACATAGAGGCACATATATACTATATAAATTTGGAGATTAAAAACTTTCATTCTGGGAGACTATTTTTTAAAATTAAGTTGCTTATTCTTAATCCATATCCAGGTAGTACATTGACATAAATAACTACTTAATAACAATCATGACTTGGCTTCACAGAATTGGCAAGTATTATCACAGAGAGAAGCTCACCCATTTCAGCTCGGCCCCCATCTAAAATCACAAAGCCAAAATAAAGGTAAAAGAAATTACTGAAGCAAGACAAATATAAATCAAAATGAAGGAATATTCTATTCGCAGGAATGGTTTAAACCAAAGGACCGAGCAGATACCTTTAGGATTGTCCCTGCTAATAGACATTTGCATCTGAGGGCTAAGGCTAAATATATTCAAAACACGTTTTTCATGGCAGTCTTTAAATAGCCCCCAAATTTAGTACATATTGACAACTATAATTCTTAATGTCAGCTGAACTAAAAACTGCTAGACCTTGGACTCAAAACAAAAATACTCACAATAGTTGTTCCTGGTTGTGCTAAAAGAAAGAAGAGACTCTTTGTGGATTTTGTCATATGCTTTACTGAATTGCTTCAAGTACAGATCATGAAAAATTGATATGTATTATTTTCAATGTACACAGACAACTGTGAGTATTGTTGTGGCAAATGCTCAAAGTCACGTCTCTATTGGGAAACTTTGGGGGAGGGTGGTTATAATGATTTCCCTTCAGTTCAAAATCTTGCTCAAAAAAGAATGTCTGCAGCAATACTTCTGACACTAGGATTCGACATTAAGTCTTCGTGCTTACTACTCAGGTAATCTACCATCTGAACCTTGCTTCTAGCCTATTTTTCACCAGTTATTTTTAAGAGAGGGTTACCCTTCCTGCCCAGGTGCACATCTGAGACCTGATCTACCTATTAGGGGGTTCCAGTAGTTTCTGGCAACATAGGCACTTGCCTCATTTCCCAGCTTCCCTCTGTGCAGATAGAGTCTCATAGACTTCTGCCTAGGCTGACCTGAAACTGCAGTCTTCCCATCTCAGACTCCCACATAGCTTGGGATGACAGAAATGTGCCACTGCACACAGCTATCAGTTGAGCAAAAGTCTATAGAGCCCAGACTATCCTTAAATCAAGGCCCTCCTATTCTCAGTCTCCCAAGCAGGTAGGATTATAGGCATGAGTTCACGTGCCCATCATACGTCCAGTACTATATTAATTTTGTCGCTTATGATCACTTGACTCATTGCATGTCTTATAAACACGAAAGTCACCTTCAACTCTGAAATTCCACATCCAAACTCTATGTATGGATTTTTGTATGCTATCCCAAATGCTCACCAATAAAATAAAATAAATGTCTTAAGTAGACTCAAGACTTAAAGTAAAATCATAAGCTACAAATGAGTACAAATGTTTGGTGTGCATGTGCAGTATGATGAATAGTTTGACACATATTAGCTAACCACCTAGTAAATATCCCTGAGCCATGGGAGTCAACACACTAATGGCTTTACTGGGTTGAAAAGGCAAAGCATCCTGCCAGATTGGCAATTAGGCATCCTGTCCCCATTTAGCTTTCATTCATAATCATAATCATGCCTTCATTCATTCACAATCTGCACATTTTCCAGAAATGTGGTCTACCCACTCTGCATACTAACTCTGCCTTCCTAGAACAACTAGCCTGCTTAGGAGGCAGTACACTGTACATAGACTCAAGGCTCCAATTCCAAGTTTCGTTCATCTTCCTCCCTGGAATTCACGTGTGTTCCACAGCAAAGGAGAAGTTACCTTTGACACTAGAAGATCTGCATTGACATGAAGTAGTATTATCAGCCAAGAAGGCAAACAAGCAGCTAGCAGGTTTTTGTTGTTGTTCTCTGAGCCTTCCTCACTCTCAACAGACAGTGGCTTCTATCATAAAATATACCCTGTGATTGAATCAATATTCATTCTTCTTTATACAACAGCATCCCTTGTCCCCTTCAACCCAATACAAAAACTTACTTGCCCCTTGAGATCAAAAACATCTAGCAAATTTTTCCTTACATACTTTGTGTTACTATACTGAATATGACTTTGTTTATATGAAAATATTAGATGCACACATGTTCATATGTATACGTACATGTGTCTGTGCATATTTATTTAAGTATGTTTGCTTCTCTTTCATGCCTAAGTTAATAAATTTATGTGTGTAATATATAATTGTTAATTATTTAGTGCATAGAGTGATTCCAAATTGAAATAAATCTAAGTTGTGCAAAGCTTTGAAAAGCAAATTCTGTTTAAAATGTTCCTGAGAGTACTACTGTTGAAAGGCTTGTGTTAATTTGTCACTTGTTGAAGAAAGTCATATCTGACATCCTATCAATGTTGGCTTTTGGTCTTTTAGAAATCCGTGTGCATGAACAGTACTGAGAAACATCTGAAGTCATGTGGTATCAACAGACAAGGTGGGTCAGCTACACAAAACTAGTGCCAGAGCATGATATTGCCTTGTGTTGATTCCACAGTCCTTTTCCCTTTTTCTTGAGCTTACAGACCCTCTCTCAAGACCAATGTCACTGATGCCATTTCAGAGAGGAACAAAAAAATCACAAATCTGTTTTTTAATTGGTTACAGTAAGTATATCCAAATGCAACCCAAAGGGAGAAGACACAGCTACCAAATCATGCCAATCTATGACCTGTTTCAAAATACTAGACAGAATGTCAGCACTGTTTCAGTGCGCTTGACAGATGGTTTGTTTCAATACCCTTCATTTGCTTCAAGCGTCAAACTAGCTTGGCCATCTCCAGCACACTGATTTACCAGCACCCTCCACTATGGTGACTACTTCTACTTGACATGCAATCATGAACCTTAAAGCATGCTGCAGCCCATGACTTCCAGTTTAGAGCAAGTTCAAGTTGGAATGAATGTGCAGGGTTTTCAGGGTAAAGTTTGTTCATAGTAGACAAATCTGAGACACCCTTTTGTGCATATTCCTCAATGTCATCTTTCCCTCAAAAAGAATCTACATCAAATCCTTGTACTTCTGGGTCCTACCACAATGAATGATGAAAGGAAATCTAAATAATTAGTGGTTCCCTTTGTATTATCTGGTTTCCCATGCAACATAGAGCAAAATGAACAGACAAATTCCTGTCATTGGAAATGCCTGGATTTTTCTTCTCTTATCAAATGGGAACTCTTACAGACCTCATTAGACAATGTGAAGAATATACATTTTCCTAAGCCACACAGCAATATCCCTTGCTGCCATATACTTAGAAT